ATCTGTTGTGATTTCTACTCTGAATTTGAAATTAAAGGCCTTAATGGCATCATAAATCGGAATTGGTTACATGAATAGACTGATTGGAATTTTTAGAACCTTATGGCAAGTTTGATCAAAAATTGATTCAGATTAATTAATTAAGTTGTGTTTAATTGGTCTAATGTTCAAATTATTGTATTAAGCCATTCCAACTATAAATATGAGCCTTAAGCTCATTTGAACTCACTTCTCTTCATTCTTGAGTGCAAAAAATCTAAGATTATACTTTTAGAGAGAGAGAGAGAGAGAGAGTGTGTGTGTGTAGAGATTGAAGGAAACTTGGAGATATAGCTTGAATTGGTCAAATTATGTTGGGATTGGTGTTTGAAGGCTCTCGGTAAGAGTTTACCCTCAATTCTTGAAGATGTCATCTTTTAGAGTTGTAATCATGGATTATACATGACCATTTGTATGTGTTTTGTGAATTAAAGTCAAGAAGATGAAGAAACTTTACATGTATGCAAGAATATGTTGAATTATGAGTTATATTGTACATACATGTTTAATCTATCGTGTGTTGATTCTTAAATTCTTGTTTTGGAAAGGAATTTTGTACATGCATGAGCCTTTGAGCTCAAATTTGTTAAGTTCATAAGTTTTGAAAAGAAGGAAAGGCAATTCATTACATGCAAGTTAAGAACATGGAGTTTTGAACCTTATTTTGGAAAATTTAAAGGGATTTGAGTATGTGGTTTCATAATTTTCATGAATTTATGTACTATGGAAGGTTTCTACATGTTTCTAGCATGACATTCAAACTTTGAGCATGAAAGATGCATTTTTGAACTTTAGTGAACTTCATAGAGTAATTTGGAAAACCTAGAAAATCTGCAGACCACTGGAGCAACCAAGTGTGCGCTCGAGCGAACTTGATGAGCTCCCAATACTTTTGCAATCTTTGCAGACGGCTCGAGTGACCAAGTATGCACTCTAGCGAACCCTCTGTATATTGTTGGACCGTGAGCAACCAAGTGTTGGCTCGAGCACATATTAGACTCATCCAGTACTTTTGTAGATCTCTATCACCGCTCGAGCGGCCAATTGTTGGCTCGAGCGAAGACCCCTGTTTCAAAATATTTTGATAAGCTCTTCTGTGTTCATATCTTCGTTCTCATCTTCTCTAGAGCATTGCTAGGCATGAATTGTGACTCATCAAGGAACTAATAAGTGAGAGCCAACATGAATGATTGAACTAGAAAGAGAAGATGAATTATTCGATTCGAACAATGTGTTCCGATATGTGCATATGCGAAATGTGTAGGTTTGAACATTGTAGAGGAATATCAACCTACTCAAGGTGAGTAATATTGCTATAAGGATACGTGTGAAATGTGTTTGAAAATTGTTACATGAATAATATTTTAAAATGCTATTTTTATATAAATGAATGAATGTCCCTTTTTGAAATGTATTTGTGGCATCCATTACTAGACCCTTGCTTGGGAGAAACAATATTATGGCCCATTGGCCCTTGCCCAGGGGAAACAATATCGCAGCCCATTGTTATATTGTTACTCTATTGGATGTACCACTGTTATCACAAATATTGATATGATTGGATATATGATTCATTATTTTGGAAATTAGAAGATATGTATCATGGGATGATGGACTCTGTTATAGCAAATCTTTCGATATGAATGTGAAATATGATTTGTTTTAGAATTGTAAAACATGTTTTTACATTATGTTGGACTTCATTCATTAACCTCTTTATTTTGGTATTATTCAGTGGGCGTTAGCTCACTCCGTATATATATACATATATATAGGTGAGTAGCGAGATGTGCAACCTCAGCCCTAGTGAACCTGTGAGAGGATACCAAGTTTTTGAGGAGTCAACTAAGCATGCCTCATGCAAGAGGCTTTTGTCCTTTTATGTTTGCTGGTCATGTTGACTGTGTATTGTATATAAGCTTTTGAGTTTGTATAATAATGATGTTATGAATGGTATTGGCTGAGTTCTATCTTCTGTATGTGATTGGTGTGAGTTATTACTTGTATGAAGAGTTTATGTTTATGCCATATATGGATAACTCATTGGACAAAATTTTATAGTTTGCTTCTGCTTCTGGCCTCGCTTTGAGACCGGGTAATTTGAGATTACTAGCCAATTACAGTCTACACCCATATAGGCAGGTTTGGGTCATGACACTTGACCTCTACTTTCTTCCTCAAACAACACAATTAACTACTAAAAATCGAACCTTTTGTGATGGTCTCAAATGTTGCAAAAGGTTCACATGCCGTCGCAAAAGACTTTTTGCGACAGAGTAGCGACGGGAAATGGGAAGTAGCAAAAGAGGGCGTAACAACAAGTATTTGCGACAGTAACAAACTGTCACTTTTTTGTAGCGACGGTAAATAAATAATTTTTGCGACGATTTAACCTGACACAAAAAAGCAGAGAAAACATCACTTTTAGCAACAGTTTAGGATATCGTGACCAAAAGCTTTTTTAGAAATGGTAATTGACGTCACGAAAAGTATTATTAGCGACGGTCTTAAGCATCACAAAAAAAGAAAAGAAAAGAAAAAGAATTAAACCAATATTGTATTTGCAACAGTTTAAACCGTCGCTAAAGATGGCACTAATATGTATATGCGACAAGTTGGCCTGTCGCTAATAAAATGCAAGAAAATGATGATTACATTAGCGACGGTTTATTATTATCGCAAAAAATAAAAAAAAATAAAAAATCATAAAATAAATATATACTTTATTAATTCATTCCATTTACGAATTATTAATATTTTCTAAAATAAAATACATTCACATCCACATCAACACATATCCACATTCACATTCACAAAATTATATATACTACTAATAATAATAATATATATGTACCTTGTAACAATACAGTATCAACCAAACATTCTTTACAAAAATACATAAAACATCATCCAACGATACTAATAATTTTTATAATTCAAGAACTCAAATTTGTATCTAAAATAAAACCAAAATATTGAAAATACAAATAAAAAAAACATATATATTAATAGCTTGTTTTAGTATCAACAGTAAGCTCCAATATCGATATACGAAGATATTATCACGTACTCAAAAGGGTAGCATCTGCAAAAAGAAACAAAAAAATAATTATTTACAATATCAATATATTTCAAGCTTACAAAAATTGTAAAACAATTGATATTTATTTCAAAAAAATAATTTAATAAATAAGATTGTAATATATACATGAATCGAGTGCCACACAATGTATCTTCTATACCAGCTTCTCCAATTTTTCTTAGACCTTAGGATGGTGTTTCCAAATGAGCATTCAGCTTTTTCGCTTTAAGACAGACTTTGCAATATTCTGGCCCAATTGGAACTTCATCAATTTCACACAATGGATTGTCACTAATAAGAAATCTCTCAACCAATTGGACTATTGGTTTCAAGTCTCGTCTTTTCCTACAAGTCATTTGTGCCTAGTTAGTCGTGTGTGTCAAGTTTCGTTAACATTCGATTCCATTTGACCATTTTAGTGAGTCAAACATTCAAAAAAAGTGTTTTTAAAGGATAAGTTTTCACAAATGAAAATTAGGCTCTAGATTCAAAATTGGGAATCAGTTTTGAGTCATGTCTTTTCCTATAAGTCATTTGTGCCTAGTTAGTCGTGTGTGTCAAGTTTCGTTAACATTCGATTCCATTTGACCATTTTAGTGAGTCAAACATTCAGAAAAAGTGTTTTTAAAGGATAAGTTTTCACAAATGAAAATTAGGCTCTAGATTCAAAATTGGGAATCAGTTTTGAGTCATGTCTTTTCCTATAAGTCATTTGTGCCTAGTTAGTCGTGTGTGTCAAGTTTCATTAACATTCGATTCCATTTGACCATTTTAGTGAGTCAAACATTCAGAAAAAGTGTTTTTAAAGGATAAGTTTTCACAAATGAAAATTAGGCTCTAGATTCAAAATTGGGAATCAGTTTTGAGTCATGTCTTTTCCTATAAGTCATTTGTGCCTAGTTAGTCGTGTGTGTCAAGTTTCATTAACATTCGATTCCATTTGACCATTTTAGTGAGTCAAACATTCAGAAAAAGTGTTTTTAAAGGATAAGTTTTCACAAATGAAAATTAGGCTCTAGATTCAAAATTGGGAATCAGTTTTGAGTCATGTCTTTTCCTATAAGTCATAGATGAGTGACCAAGAATGGAAGGTAAGAGGAACAAAAATGCACAAGCTGAACATGTAAATTGGCTCACTTGCACAAGGATATAATTAAAAACAGAGAGCATACATAATCAAGCATTTGCTTCAGTTTGATGTATTGGAGACAGACAATTTGATTGTCACACCACCACGCATCAATTGCAACTTGATCACAATTCAATATAGTTTTAAGAAAATTTAATGGCAATTTACTCATAATCAAAGAGCACAGTGAAACTCGCATACTCAACCAAGAATAGAACAGCAGTTTTAGCAGCAAAATCAGTTGACATGAAAGGGTATTATGAGGGGTACAGAACTTGCCCTAAGCATGTTGTGGCCATTGTGCTAACAAATGGATAGAGACTTATGGCACCATGTATGGCGCAGTAACAAAACCATGCAATTGTATATATAACAACTAGAGGTCATACCCAGGTAATAAGCATGCAACCCCACAAATAAAAAAATTCGTACTTCCTTTTAATCCATTGTTTGTGCACAACATCTATTAAAGTAAAATGAAAGGCAGGACCTTGAAAAAGAAGAAAATAATGAAAAATCATGGCAGTTTATAATTATGTACCTAGGCTGAAATAGCTTGAGTGAGTGTATACTCAGTTTCTGCCTTAAACTGTCTCCACAAAGACTTGCACTGCACAGTTGTAATCAGAGTGTTTTCTAGAGATGCCTGGTTAAGTTTGCTTCTTAATAAGTAATCAGTCAACTCAAAAATATAAGCACACCTACACAGACAGAGACGGTAACAAATAGTATACACTTCCTACCTCGTCACACGAGCTTGAAGCAAAAGGATCAACAGAATCTCCAATGCACCTATTTTGTGAAGAAGGCAAGGCAATGGCTCTATCCATGAGCGATGAGAAAATTACATTCTCTATCTTATTTGGTTTCTCATCCAAGCGTATGGCTGCCATAACAGATAAAAGCTTCAGTGACTGCAATATGTTGACAAAATATTACATTCAGAAAAAACCATATTATGTAGAGAGTTATAAAGTCCCAGTAATGACAGATCTACAGATTACCGCAGAGCGAGCATCTTTAGTGATTGCTCTAATATCAGTCTCACGTATTAGAAGCCTTCTTATAGAAGACCAAGTATCTATTTTGCTAGCCTCTAGAAGGGCTCCATAGGTGCAGCCAGTGCTTAACCAAGTTTTTTCTGCAAGTTAGAAAGGTTTCTACTAGGTAATCTCAAAAGATGATAATCTCACGAAAAAAAGAAAGAAAAGTTTGGCTGAAAGAACACCTATGAATTGCCCAATTAGATTGATAAATACCTCAAAGCTAGCCACAATTTTTGACAATTTTGCACTATGAACAGATGAAGCATGTGCTTCGATGTCGCGACAAAGTTTCTGATCTTATTTTTTCTTTTGTTAACGAGGATTTCATTTAAGACCTTTGAGGCATCACAATTTTGTAATGCAATCGATAAAATTGGATCCAAGGTGCTAGCCAATAGACTTTAAATAGTGTTATTTGGATTAATACACCAGAATGCTTTTGTCATGGGGTGTCATAGTAGACAATATTTTGCTAGCTCACGAGATTCTGGAATTTATTAGGGAAAATTTGTAACATTAGCATCAATACCTAAACATCACAATTTTCAAATTATCTAATACATGTTGGAACATCTGTAATCTGTCCAATACCTAGGGCTTAGAGTCAAGCAGGGAACAAACTCATAATAAGAAAAAAAGATGCATACAATCACGCAAGGAACAAACTAATTTCACACCATGCAAAATAACAAAATTGGCAAGAACAAAACTAGATCAAACATCGAAAAATGAAACAAATTAATCACGTTTAACAATACACAATAAAACAAACCAAGGGATTATAAGGCACCTCTATTGAGACTGCAGGGACAAAATGAATTTTGAACGGAAAACATAATTGGAAATTCTATATATTCCAGTTTGTGAAGGTAACCTCTTCAACCTGCTTGCTTTGATACTGCAATGACATTTGCAGACAGATGTCATAAAAATTCTGTGGGTATTAAAACAACAACCAAAAAATAAATAAATAAATAATAGAAGAAGAGAAAAGAAGAGAGCAAGGCAAGGTAGGGCAACAGGGCTAATAGCTAATATTTCGTACTCCCAGCATATAAAAGAGGTCAGCACACTTAGCTCATCGGCTCAATGGATAACAAATGAAGCTTCAAAAGAACTACAACAAGGAAATATACATAGAATATGTATAAAGACTCAATTAGCCATAATCTTGCCAGAAACACTAACCTCTGCACAAATGGTGAGCTTTATAATAATTGTAGCAATCAGGAGAAAACCATAGCTACCAAAACCCACAAATACTCACTCAAGGACTTCCATGTCATTGGATTGCAAGTTTAATTTTAGAACCATAAAAGCCTCAAACAAGATAAAGGTAGATGAAATACCACCTTCCTATACAATAAACATACACTGATTGATTCACATGAAGTATATTGCTACCATTTCAGAGTTTGTTCATGCACGTTCGATGAGGTTTTTTTTTTTTTTTTTGTAATGCCCAACACATTCATTTTATGCAAATTAATTAACCACCCTTTTGGAAGAGTTTTTCATAATCCCTTCCACATATCCTTATACATACATAAATGAATCCGAAAGAGGCATTTCATCGAGCACCTGGTGGGTGGACAACGATTCCCCCAAAACAGAATCAACGACGGAGACCCCAAGGCAGCAGCTTTGAAGATTACAACTCTCATTCTCTTTGCAGTTATTATTATTATTATTGTAAAGGAAAGGTTTATTGAATTGGGTTATGGAAACAGATGTTGGTTTACTAGTTTTGGAGAAGGCATGCTGTAAGTGTATAGTTTGTATCATTTGTGTAGATACAAATATTGAATGAAAAATTCTTAAATTAAAATTGAGAGGAAGAGAGAGAGTCATTACCTTCAACTCTAGGGTTTTCAAAGGAAGTAAAAGAGAGATGGAAACAGATGAGTGCAAACTGCAAATAAAAATACAAATTTTGGATCTGCAATGCCTTGAGAGGTACCGATTAAACATTGAAGATTCCTAAAGCTCTTAAAGAGGTGATATCCATGCACTGACTGAGATCGATGACGAGATTGAGAGAGAGTAGGCGACAGTGTCGGCTTGGTGAAGGTGTATCAACACACTGATGCCGGCGGGAGTGAACTCATAGATGAAAGATGGACATAGAGCGAGGGCGAGAGAGAGAGGGCGGGAAAAACAAAGGTTATTTTGGTGGAGTTCTGTAAAATATGATTAGAGAGTATTAGTTGTATTTTGAATTTGAAAGTATAAAATTTATTTTGTTATGATTTTTGAATATAGTGATGAATTGAGTTTTGAATTGAGCGTGAAATTGAATTTGAAAGTTTGATTTAACATGTGAATTAAGAAAATTTGTTTAGTTATTTCAAAACTCAATTTAAATTGTTATAACTCATAACAAAACACAATACTTTTACATTATTGAAATTTCTAATCAACACTCATAACCAAACTCTTTTCAAAATTCAATTAAAAAAATTTATTATTAACAGAAAATAACATTAATCAATTTTTTTAATTGAAAATACTACAAAGGAAATAATTTTTTTTCAAAATAAATATTCAAAAAATGTAAATCATAAATATTTAAAAAATTTAATAAGTAAAAAATTAAAATAAATATTCAAAAAATTTAAATCGTAAAAATTTAAATATTCAAAAATTTTAAATAATTTAAAACGTTAATATTTTAAATTTAAAAATAACTCTACACTCAAAGCGTAACCAAACACATAAAACAAAACTTAATAAAGAAATTATTTTTAAAACTCATAACCAAATACATAACTTGAAATTCTATACTAGTTTCACAACTCTACACTCAAATCGTAACCAAATACATAACAAAAAAATTAAAATTTTTAAAAATATTTTTATAAAATAGAGTTTGAATTTGTTACCCAAAAGACAACCTAAGATGGGGTGAATTAGGTTTTTACAATTAAAAATTAATAATAACCTAATAAAAATTATGACTAGCACAATAGATAAATATAGTTAATGAAATAAAAATAATTAAAACAAGTGTTCTAATAACTATGTTAGTTAATGATTTTAGTATAGTGAAAATATGAAATATAGTTACAACAATTTAAATAAAATAAAGAGATAAGTGAGAGAGAGAGAGGCAAACAAATTTATAGTGGTTCGGTTTCAACTCAGCCTACGTCCATTCCTCAAGTTTCACTTGAGATTTTCCACTATGCTCAGCTCCATGGGGGTGCTAGCAACCTCTTTACAAATTGAGCAATCCTCTACGGATTTTACACAGACTTTCTAAGTTAAAAATATTGAATGTACTACACTCTTATAAGGTTGAAAAAAATGTGTTTTTGTTTTCACAAAAAATTACAAGAATTATCTCTCAAAGATAGATATAAAAATGAAATTCTGGTTTTTCTATAAACCTCACACAGGAAAGATGGGCTTAAAGTTATACGTCTCAGTGTAGAATTTCTGAAAGAGGATGTAAACAAAATTGAAGAACACTTCTCAGAGAATTTTTCAGAAAATAGACGTGAGTGATTATAGATCAAAGAATATTTTTTGATTTTTTGCAACTTGTTTACATTAGAGGCTTTGGTATATATAATGAAAATTATAATCATTTATAGCCGTTGTATTCATTTGAATTTATAGCCGTTGTAGTCATTCGAATTTATAGCCGTCGTACTCCATCATTATTAATTTGAATATCTTCCACTCAATTATTACAAATTTGAACATCTTCCGCTTGAACCTTTTGAACTGCTGCTGTGCTGGGCTATTTGAACCTTTATTTTTGGGCTGTTTGAATTCCTGATTTAATCGAATATTAAATACATTCTAATAACATTTAGGATAAAGGTTTAGGTGAGAAATAATGGGACAAAATAAATTTTGATTTTATTAAAACATAAAATCATCAAAATAAATGTTGATTCTATTTTTCTCTTTCAAATAAATCATCAAAATAAATTTTGATTATATTTTTCTCTTTCAAATAAATTAAAACATAATTAAATAAATCATCAAAATAAATAAAGTCTAACATAATTTATTTTTATAAAATAGTTTAAAATTTAAAAAATTAAAATCATAATATTTTGAAATTAAAATATTCAAAAATTAAAATATTTAAAAAATCGCAACATATTTAAATATTAAAATATTTAAAATCTTAACAAAATTTAAAAAAAAATTAAAATATAATATTTAAAATATTTAAAAAATTAAAATATTGATTTGAATTGAATTTTGAAAAAAGTTTTGAATTATGTATTTGGTTATTAGTTTTGAAAAGTTATGATTATGTTTTAAATTGAGTTTTGAGAAATGGATTGTTACGACCCAAACCCGCCCCTGTAGGTTTAGCACCGTAACCGGCCAGTAATTCGTGGATTACCAAAGGCCTCTGAAGAGATTAGCAAATAATAAGGGGCTGCGGAAGCAATAATACAAAATAGATAAGGTCCAATGAGCTGTGATAATGTACATGGGACAAAACATTTCCAAAACTTATTTATATATACATAAACATGCCAGTCAAGATACATAATATTTACAAGGTATTTACAGAATGTACTTCCCAAGACCTGACTTTACAGAGCATGCACAAAGACTAGCATGAATACAAAAACAGCCATGGCATTAGGCTTCGTTCGGAACCTCCTCGGGAGGCACAACAGTTGGCTGACAAAAACCGAACAGAAGGTCGTCAACTCTGGCCCTGGTCATGTGCCGGCTCACCTATATACATAATATAAACTGTGAGCGAAAACCCAGTGAATAATAATAGAGTAAAGGGTTTCAATGAATGAGTTCGTACAGATTTAGAAATCATAATTCAGTTTCATATCAAAATCATAGTTTATCCAGATCATATACAGACAGAAATCATAAGTCATAATTAAGTTTACGTAATACATCTATTAGCATTAACCAAAATAGAACAGAACAGAACAGAATGTATACACGTGAGGTTACGAATAACCAGTTCCATAAGGAACCTCTGGATTCGGGCAACAGAACAGAAGCTGAGCCCCTGTGACAGGGCCTCCGGTACGGGTAACAGAGTGCAGACAGAAATAAGTTCCATAAAGGAACCTCCGATACCGGGTAACAGCTAACAGATATCACATGATGCTAAGGATATCACGAATACATAACAGAAATTGAACAACCATTCATTGTACAGAACATATCATTTCGGAAAACAGATCTTGTTTTATCACACAGAAAGTAGATACAGTTTGAACATAACTTTACTAAATTATTACTCACAGTTGGCCTTGAAACAGACAGACGGAGCAGATTGATCACACGATACGCGGCACATGACCTACATAACACATAACGGACACACACTTGAAACACACAGTCTAATTTCACAAAACTTAGTTCTTAGTGTGTTTCTAACCTTAAATCCTCACTATGGAGTCTTAAACATGGCCTAGGAATGCTTAGGATGGAATAATGATGCAAAGATGTCTTGGAAAACATTTTTCAAAACTTGCTGAAAATAGGGGTCTTGCTCGAGCGTAGCTTCCTTCGCTCGAGCGAGCTTGTCAAAACAGAGGGGTCGCTCGAGCGTAGACTCCTTCGCTCGAGCGGTCTGTAAAAATGAAAAAGTACTGGTTGTTAAAATTTTACGCTCGATGCCCGCTCGAGCGTGAGACACAGCTCTTTGCTCGAGCGTAGGTCTCGTCGCCCGAGCGTGCATCTGCGTGCACCAAAAACCTGAGAGCTTGCAATTTACGCTCGAGCCATCAATCCTTCCCTCGAGCGGAGCTCTGAACAAACAATGGTCGCTCGAGCGTGTAATCCTTCGCTCGAGCGACGAAGCCAAATTCTGGAATTTCCAGATTTTCCTCCCAAGCTCAAACCAAGCATTCAACACCTCAAATCTCAACCCTTTGGGCCCATTTTCTGGAAAACACTTGTAAACTCATAGTATAAGATGTTTCAAAGATCAATTTGTAAAATCAAAGCCCAAAGGTGAGTCAATTAAACACAATTTCAAATAAAATTTCAAGAACATAACTTAAATGTAACATGCATGAATTCTCATGACTTCTAATGCTCCAAAACATGATCCAAAGCAAGATTAAGCTCAAGAATAGGATAAATTCATGGACTATAACAAACATGTGGACATGCATGTGGAAATTCATGAAGAACAACTCCAAAATCTAAGAATATGTGCATGCATGCATGAATTCACTCTCAAATCCAACTCTTTAAACCAATTCTAGACTTTAAACTCTAATCTTCCATGAACCATGCAAGAATTAATCTTAAATTCACAATTGAAAGGGGAATCTCCTACCTTAAACCTTGAATTCCAAGTCTAGGACCTCAAATTTGCAAGCCTCTTCAATTCTCCTAAGTTCCAAGCCAATTCTCTAGATGAGTTCAATCTCCTACCTCACTCCCTCTCTCTCACGATTTTGGCAAGGAAAAAGGCTGAAAATGGTGTATGAATCAACTCTAAACAATGTATGAGAAAGTGGCCCACTCAAGGGCAAAATGGTAGATAAGTCCAACTAATGTAATTTGGCTTATTTAATCCAATTTAATCATACCAAATCAAATTTTAACTAAATTTACCATAAAATCACATTAATTCTAATTAACACAAAACACTAATTAGTTTCGGATTCGGCCGCCGATAAGGCCTTCAATTTGCAGTTTAAAACATAGAACATGAACAGATCATTTTATGGCAAACAGATAAAAACACAAAGATAATGCAATACATATGAAATTTAATTCCTGTGTCCCTCTAAATTACTGTTAGGCATAAATAATCATGGTTTAGCATTAATCGGAGGTCGTGGTTATTACAGTCTTCTCCCCTTAAAAGAGTTTGGTCCTCCAAACTTGAATTACCTTCATTCGAAATCAACATTGGGTCCAATGAGAACAAATCCGGATATCTCTTCATCATGTCTTCCTCGGTTTCCCAAGTTGCATAGGTTCCTCCGTGCTTTTGCCAATCAACTTTTACCAACGGTATATCTTTATTTCTCAACTTTTCGATCCGGCGATTCACAATCTGGATAGGTCTTTTCTCATAAGTGTAGTCATCTTTCAAAAGCACATGTGTCGGTTCGATGACGTAGAGTGGATCCCTCAAATATTCTCGTAGCATCGATACATGAAAGACGTTATGCATATGTTCCAT